GGCTCCTTATATAGGTAGTAAGGCGAAGTTTACCCGTGCATAGTCAAACTCATGAGAGATATACATAAATGAAAGGGGATGCCACGGCTTGACGCGGCCTCTGGAATAAGGGGTGCCACTATGGTGAGTGATACGGCACTATTTGATTATTTATCTATTTAATTGGTTCTTTATTGGTGCCAAACATAAGCGGTTGGAAAATCTAGCCTGTGGGAATACCGCAGGCCATTTGGATTATCGAGTTGTGTAGATTGATGATATACAAATCATCAACACATGGTAGATTGACAGTTCTTTTGTTAATCACGAGATTGGCAGGAGACCGATACAGTACATGTACACTGTATGTATATTGCGAGTGTGTAAGATACGCTAAACTTTTATCATATCCGTCGTTGATCTTGACCCCAGTTATATACTCTTTAATTTCAACACTTAGTGAAGTGAAATATTAATTTCTATTCAATTGGTTCTTTTATTGGTCATCTTCCATAAACGCACATGAGTTCAGAAGGTTGCAGAATATCAGAAATAACTTGAGTCCGTGTTTTCTCGCCAAGAAAAAATTGAAACCATATTCTAGCATGCTATCGAAGCAAGAAGTTGATCTCGGACTTGCTTTCCTTCGCCAAATCGCCATCGATGAAAATGCGGTTGTCTCTCCAGTCTCAGTACTGTTTGCGTTGACAATGGTTCAAAATGGTGCCAAAGGAAAAACAAAAGAGCAGATCGATAGCATAATTTACAAAGGTGATTACCATTTGCAAAAGATTTAGTAGACTACAATCGTTCTTTCAGGTCAACCTGATTTCGTCATAACATCATACTATTCCACTTTAATTCAAGAAATTTCCAGAGACAAGGAAATACTGACTAAGATTGCAAATGGATTTTTCCTCAAGTAAGCATGCCACTTCCATTTAACCGCCCTTATTTTCGGTTCTGACAGTTGATTTTTCAGTAAGCTACATAAGTTAAGAAAAGAATATCAGGGGACCATCGCCGAAAAATTCATGGCGAAAATTGAAAGCCTTGACTTTGCCAGAGCAGACGAGAGTGCAAAGGTATTCTTTTTTAAATATAGCAATATTTTAGAATCTTGCTATGCTGTAAGGTTTGTTAGGATAGTATATTTATTCAAATCGGCCCGACGTTTCGGCGCCTTCG